TTTTCTTTTTTCCCTTTAATTTTCTTGGATTTCTTGATTTGAATTGCTTTTCTGTGGCTATGTGGTTCCAAAACTTGGGAAGATCATGTCCTCCTAGGTTTTATAGTGGCTTGTCATCCTCATTTTCATCCTAGCCCAAATCCCAATATTCTTTTATTGGGAATATTCCTTTTCTAATAAAGGAATTATCCTATTAGCCCTAGGTTGTGAAGCAACCCATCTTTCTGTCACTCTCAAAATTCCCAAATAATTCTCATAATTTTATTGGGTCATATCTTCCTCAAATATGTCAAAAATATTTCCTTGGCATCATCAAAGATAATTCACAAATATTCCTTTTCTGATTCTGCCCTAAGTGGTGGTTTGAGAAGGAAGTGTCAATTATCTTTTATTGTTTGATCCCAAACTTTTTGGACATCTTTTCCTGTCCATATCAGTGCCCCATGCCAAAATTCAACTCAATTTTCCTAGTAAATATTCCTGAGCAGATTTTCAAAGTTCCTGTCTGAGAGAAGTGATTGTGAAGGAAGTACTAGCTAGGCATATACAAATGAGTTGAAATTTTGCAAGGTCCTTCATATGATAAAATCACGACTCTCCACCAAATATGAGCTCATGTAAATCATCTATGTGAGCCCAACTCCAAATCTTAGTTTCTGGTCAGATTTTCAGTTTGTGAAGCAACTATATTTTATATTGCTTCAATTAAGCTGAAAATTTACCAGGACATTCTCATATCCATATCAACTCCCTCCACCAAGTTTTGGCTCAATCCATTACTCCATTTTCCCTGTGCAATGTTTCCAAAATTTTGATCAGAATGAAGCATTGTGAAGCAAGTCCCATTTTGGTATTTCCAAATGGCATGAAACTTTTACAACAACTTCAGATGATCAAATAACCCATCTATCTTAATTTTCAGCTCAATCCAAGCTAGTATGTGAGCGCTACTTCAAAGTTTGCTATTCTGGTCAGTATGGCACGTTGCACTACAAGTACTAGCTAAATCCCTCGTTATGAGCTGAAACCTTGCCATCTTACTCACCTTGGTGAGTGATAAACCGCAATCAAATCTCAATCTAATCCTCCCGAACAATCCTCTGCAAATGGCATCAAACACCTTGCCGCCGAAATGTTTTGGCTCCTCCTGCAAATCACTTCTTTGCCCCTGGACCGAGTTGTTACCGCCTTTGAACTCAGGGTATCACGGTCTTTCTACCGGACATGATGTGGCCGCTCACCTAGCAACGCATATGCCAGTTCACGCAGTGACCACGGGTCACGACCAGCCAAACGCGTGCTCTGGAGTGTTCCTACCCCTGTTCTCTTCTGCTCCCTCCGCCTCTCGCGTCCAAATCATGTCTGGTAGCTCACCCGTGCTTTTCTGCATCGACCTGAGTCGATGCCTCGCCCTGAATCACTACTGTGTGGTCGCCGTTGTCACGCTCGTGCCACAAGTAGCCCCTGTCCTCCATTGTTTGCTAGCTTGAGCTCTCTAGAGCATCCCCGAGCCCTCCCCGCGGCCTATATAAGGACCCCCGAGGTGTTCCGCAGCCCCCAAGCCTCTCCCCGTTCCTCATTTGTCACCGGAGTCGTCCAATCTTGCCGGAGTTCGTCGCCGTCCACCATGGCCGCCTCAGACTTGGCTTGGTTC